AATAGACAAAATGAGTCCTACAATATATTGAAAAATCTTTAGCAAGCTGTGTAATTATCTACAAGTTTATTTACACATTAGTTGACTTCTTAGTTGTCCTGTTTCTTTTTTCTTTTTTTTTGAGTTGGAGTCTCACCCTGTCGCCCAGACTGGAGTGCAGTGGCCGCTCCCGACCACAGCCTCGACTTGCTGGGCTCCGGCGATCCTTCCAAGTAGCCCGAATTACAGGCATGTGCTACCATGCCCGGCTGATTTTTTGATTTATTGTAGAGATGAGGTCTCGCTGCCCAGGCGGGTTTCGAACCCGCGGTCTCAGGCAATCTACTCACCTCAGCCTCCCAAAGGCGCGGAATTACAGGCTGAGCCACCGAGCCCGGCTAGTTGTCCTGTTTCTTAAGAGAGTTTTTAAGAAAAGAGATTCTTCCAAACCCTTATTCAATGCATCCTCTTCCCTTCCCTCTTGATAAAGCAAACTCATCCTTTTTTAAGACAAAATTTAAATGGTTTTTGACTTTTTTGCTTATTAATTTTTCAAATTTCTATGCCTTATTGCCAAGAAAGGACAGTCTGGAGACTGGGAGCTCTTGATCAGTATTTGTAGCCACCTACTCAGAGGTCATCCCATTGGCAGGTGCCACTTCTCTCTTTAAATTGCCACCAGAGATCACAAAAGACTGAAAACAAAGTACAAAAAAACTAAGGGTTCATCACTAGAGGACTGGTTAAAATAGCTTGTGTTACTTTTAATAAAATTACAAAGCTCCATATGTCCTGAGAAAAGATGTACAAGACATATGTGATAACAAATACACATACTTTTATATCAGAAGTCAGTTTCTGGAAGGATACATAAGAAATGTTACCAACGCAGAATCTGTGGTGGAAGGGACTTTGTGTTTTACACCTTGATTTACAGTCCCTACATACAAATGAATTCTATTCCAAGAGCCCATGTGCAAGTCCAACTTGTTCGTTAAGTCCAACAAAGTTAGCCTAGGTACCCAACTTACATAATTGGCTATATAGTACTGCACTGTAATAGATTTATAATACTTTTCACACAAATAATACATAAAAAACAAACAAAAAAGAAGACATTTTTAATCTTACAGTACCTTGAAAAGTACAGTAGTACAGTACAGTGCAACAGCTGGCCTACAGGGGCTGGCTTGAGCAGGAGGAGAACCAGAGAAGGGAGAAAGGGGTGGGAGATGGTAGAACTGAGCGATCGTCAGGCATAGGAGATGGAGGGCAAGCTGCAAATTCACTTATGCCTGACGTTGATGGCACAGGTTCTGGTTCCTTAGTGGATTCAATTCTATTTACCTTCTTGAAAAAATGACTCAGTGATGTCTGGGTAGCAGCTCTTTTTTTCTCGTCATAGACGACATGGTAGCACTGGATTGCATTCTGAACGTCTGCTGCGGCCTTTGTGTACCATTCTACATTTGGGCCCTGTGCCTCAAAAACTAACAGTGCCTCCTCAGATAAAGAAAATCCCCTTGACATTTCCTGCGTTGTGAATCTCTTCGGTTCTTCGGTTATTTCTTCTTCCTCTTGTCTCTCTTTGTCCTTTCTCTGGGCCTCCGGTTCCATCAGGTGTTCACGAGTGAGCTCCTCGTGTTGCACAGTGAAGTCGTCCTCTTGCAGATGTAGCTCCAGCTTCTTGCTGAGGGTGACTAAGTTGCTGAAGACCTCTTTGGAATCTTCATCCATCTTCTCAAATCCATGAAAATTGTGAACAAACTGTGGGCAAATGTTCCTCCAAACCCCATTCACAGTGACAACTGTGACCTCACACCAAGAAAAGTCAGTATTTTTTTATGGCCTTGTTGATGATGATATAGTCCTTCCACAATTGTTGCAGGTTGATTTGTCACTTGCCTTTACTGCCTGACAAAAAGTGTGAAGTAAATAATATTTCTTGAAAGTCACTATAACTCCCTGGTCCATAGGTTGGATGATGACATAGCATTCGGCGGCAGATGTGCTACTTTGATGTTGGGATGAAAGTCGTTCATGAATGGGGGGTCGCCCAGAGTATTGTCAAGCAGCGGAAGAATGTTGAATGTGACGTTCTTCTCCAAGCAATATTTTTCTACTTCTGGGATAAAGTGGTGGAAAAACCAGTCCTGAAAAATGACCTGTGTAACCCAGACTTTGGGGTTATTCTTCCACACAACAGGAAAAGAGCCCTTGGCTATTTTTAAGGGCTCTTGGGTTCTCTGAATGATAAACTAAGAGAGGCTACAGCTTCAGTCACCAGGAGCATTGCCACCAAACAACAGAGTTAGCCTCTCCTTTGCTGCTTTATAACCTGGCATCAACTTTTCCTTCTTACTAATGTAACTTTGGTCTGGCATTCTCTTCCAGCACAGTCCTGTCTCTTCCACGTTAAAAACCTGCTTGGGGATTGGCAGTAGTGGGAAACTGCCAGGGGAGGGGGGGGCACACCTCATCAACAAGGGTACCTGCATAATGAACATTTGTATACCTAACCCTGAACTGTACCCCACATATTACAACAAACAAGCAAACAAACAAACAAGCACTTGCTTGGGTAAATACGTGCCTTCATCAATAATTGCTTGAAACATTTCAGGAAATTCTCAGGCAGCTACTGTATCTGCACAAACTACCTCATCACTTACTTTTATGTTGTGAAAGTTGAATTGAGCCTTGAACTGATGAAACCAGCCATGGCTGGCATTAAAAGATGCACCCTCTGATTCTTTGCCATGTTTCTTTGTCAAGTCTTCATAAAGGCTTTTAGCTTTCTCTTGAATCAGCATTATGCTGAGTGGGACTCGATCCTGATGCTGCTCTTGCATCTCACACATTGAGAAGTTTCTCCATCTTCTCTATCTCTTTTCTATGCTTTCTTGATATTATTGTCAACATCTTCAGCCCAGCAGAGGTCACATGTTCCATGATCTTGTCCTTGTTCTTTAGATTCATGCTGATGGTTGAACAAATCATGTTATAAGAATGAGTGACATCTGCCATCTTTTCTCCTCGCTCCACTCTTTCAATTATTTTCACTTTTATTTCCATCATTATGGCTTGATGCTTCTTAGCTGTACCAGCTACATTGCCACTGCTTTTATGCTCACTTCTGGACATCCTGGGTTTGAAATAAAGATATAGTACTACTGTACTCAATACAGTAAAGTACACAAAGGCACAATCACTTGGATGCACACATATGACACGTATGCCGGACATATGAACTAACTTACATAATTGAACAGGCAAACACAGGTTTATATCTTTGAAAGCTTGCAACTTTAAGGTTTATATGCAGTGGACTTACTGTGCTTGAAAAAAAAAAGCAGCCCAAAGGAGCTGTTTCTGTCATTTTGGCAGGAGCAGGCAGTCTTTTGAGGGCTGTAGGGCTGCCACTTGGAAGGCTCCGTCTCATACAGCAAAATCCTGGAATCCTGGTTCATGGCTCCACCCAGGTCATGTGTGGCCGCTCATGGTCAACCCTCCTGCTTTCTCATTTTTTTTGGAGTTGGAGTCTCACTCTGTCACCCAGACTGGAATGCAGTGCCACAGTGCTCCCAGTCACTGCAGCCTCTCCCTGCTGGGCTCCGGCGGTCCTTTCACTTCTGTCTTCCAAGTAGCTGGAACTACAGGCATGCATTACCACGCTTGGCTAATTTTTTTTGATTTATTGTAGAGATGTGCCTGTAATTCCGGCTACTTGGAAGGCTGAGGCGGAAGGATCGCCGGAGCCCATCAGGTCGAGGCTGTGGTGGCCTGGAGTGGCCACTGCAGTCCAGCCTGGGCGACAGAGTGAGACTCCAACTCAAAAAAAAATAAAATAAAATAAAAAATAAATCTACCATTTCTTCATCTCTGTGATGTAAGAATGAAATGATTCTCCCTCTTTGTGACCATGCTTTGATACAGTGCAACCTAAGCTGCCTCTGATTAAATGTAGACCGACTTGAAATTCTGCCCTATCCCCCTAGCAGTTTGCCTGGTGGAAAGGTAGACCCATTGCTTCTTTGAGAACCAACCCATAGATTGCTTCTGAATCCTACCTTTCTAGCAGACAGGCGTCACCTCCCATCTAATAAGTCTTTCAGCCATAATCCCTATTGAGCTTTTCTCATTTTCCTCCCTTTGTGGAAATAGTCTACATTCTATGATTATGCACTAGCCTTTTTTTCCCCCCACAGTGTTAATCTTGGTTTCCTACATAGACCGAAAGCACTGTGAGGCCGAGAACCACGTTTTATTTCTTTTCTTTCTTCATTTCACCAGGCTCACCTCTTTTCCCTGCCTGCCACGGTGCAAACTGGGTAGAGAATGGGCACTCAATAAGTCCTTGCTGCGTAAACAAGTAATGAAAGAAGGCCTAAAGCATGCCTCACGTGCCCCAGTGGAGCTCAAGGACTGTGAGATTGCCTGTAGGCAGATGTCAGCTGAAGTAGGGGAGTGGAGGAAGTGCAGGTCAGATGTGCAAACGTATCAGAGGAGAGCTCTCCTCTCTCCATACGGTACTTCCTGACACTTCAGTATTTCCATCAGCACATGGGATTATTATCATTTAGTCAAGTATTTAACGAGTGTCCCCGGGGTGCACAGCATTTTGCTAAACATTATTCTGATCCCCTCTCAATGTAAATAGGGGTGTTGTCTGAATAGGTGAGATCATATTTCATCACATTATTATCTCAGCTTTTGCCTTTCTCCTAACTACCCCCCTTTTCACAAACACACACACACCCACATGACACATATAGTGTTAAAAGACCCGGTCATGGCAGGGGCTCTGGGCTCCAGCTCTTGCTCTGTTGCTGTGTGACTGTGGACAGGTCTCCTCCCTTCTCTTGACTTCAGCGTCCTCAGCCATAGAACGGTGGATGTGCAGCAGGCGATGTCCTAGGTTTCTTCTAGGTCCACATTCTGTGACTCTAATGTCCCTTGACCCATGCTGTCACTGTCACTGAACATCTTGTGACTTGTGTTTTGTTCTACCTTCCTTTCAGGAATTGTGTCCCAGCCCTCAGTTTATTGTTGGCGGAGCCACGCGCACAGACATTTGTCAGGGGGCTCTGGGTGAGTAACTGGGGAGAGTCCTGTTTGTTTTGGGAGAGGGCAGGAGCGTGTGTGTAATGAGCAACATCAGATTAAGCTGGAAGATTTGACCAACTCAATTACGTACCCTATTAGTCCGTATAGGCTTGTGTTTCTGAGACTGCATTCTTCACTACAGTCTGAATGATGGGGCTACCTTTTGGTTCTCCATGACGACAGATTTTCTTCCAGCTCATTGAACTACTTTAATGCTAGAGTAATGAGCCGGGATTGCAGCTGTAGAGTAGATAACTAGGCTTTACTGTGTTTTTAGAGTAGTTATCTTCAAGCGGACATAATTTGCCCTATGGAATGACCATGTCTATATAATTATGGGCTGTCATAATAGGTGCTTTTATAATTAGTAAGAAAACAAGAACCTTATCTTTCTAGCCAGGCATTCTTCCGAAGGTCTGGGATCCTAGAATCAAGAACCTTCATTTTCCAACTTATCATATTCCTTTCAAATCAGGGGCAGTTAAGTTTAATAATAATTTCACTTTGTTTATAAAGTTCTAGCCTCAATTGTCAGAAACTGAGGCTTTCCTTGGAGGCAGATTAACTTTGTTGATCTCATTAGCCCTCCTGATACCAGGGCCTCATAGGTGGGCGTTTCAGCATTGAGTTGGACAACACTCATATTTTATGGACAACACGGTCCTGAGTGGAACTTGTGATACTTCCAAGCCGCCATCCAGTCACAGCTGCAAAATATAGAGCTGGAAAAGAAGGCAAAGAAGAAACAAATCCTACTTGGTGGAAATCGGCCAAACAAACACAAAACCTAGCGTCCATACCAACTCCATAACCTTTGATTTTTTCGGAGGTTTTCCCCTTTTCTCTTTTCTTTTTGTTCCAGCCAGGAAAACCTTTTCTCTTTAGCCTGCTGGAAACTTTCACGATTTTGACAATCACAGGGCATTTTATTTTAAATGTTTCCAATGTTCTCTCTTTAATGAGTATAGCAAATACGCCTTAGAAAGAGCTCACGGAGTGTGGCCATAAAGCAGCGGGAATGATTTGGGGTGCCACACACAAGCATGTACCCTGTTCCCTGGGAGCCACAGCCTCCGTTTCCTGTGCTTTTGTGTGAAAGGCTCTCAGAGGGGTGGCGTTCTGCCCTTTTCTTGTCCCGGGTAAGTGTGTGGTGCCTTTTTACTTCAAGCTCACTGCTTAACCTAATTTAGCCTGTGTCTCAGGGAAACACAACTTCGAATGTGCGTCTAACAGCTCCTTGCTAAGGATGTTTTAACTTTGGGAAAGATATTTAATAAGTACCTTTTCATTGATTGGCTTGGATGGATTTTTTTTTCCTTTGAATAGTTTTAAGCAAGAAGAGAAGGCTTCCGAAACGGGGCCTGAGCGTTACCATGGTGAATGTGTGCTGTTAATGGAGACGGAGGCTGGAAGTACAGGAAATGAGCCCAGCTATGCTCAGGATCCTGCTCACATCAGAGCAAATGGGGCCCCCTCCGTGGCGGCTGCCCTGGTTTGGCCCAGCCACTGCAGTGGTGGTTTTTAATGAACAGAGTAAAGGGGCTGCGGAGTCCAACCTCCCCAAAGGGGCCAGGCACAGACTCAGCCTCAGCAGGTGGAAAAGTGGGCACCTCACAGCTTGGAGGCTACAACTCAGAGCATCAGGGTGGGGGCCAGAGGCTGAGTGGCAACAACCTGTGTGGCCTGTGGGATTTGAGCCAGAGTTGGCACTGAACAATGGGTGAATTATGAAGGGATTACGAGGAGGGAGTCCTCACTTGACACACAGTGTGTGTTTCCAAAGAACGAGGCGGCATCACGCAGCACTTGTTGAATTACGGCGTGACATGGATTAGTGTTTGTTCAATGCGTTGTTGGCTTTTCAGAGTCCAGCACAGTGCAGTAGGGTCTGCTCTAGGGTTCTAAAAAAATTTTGATTTATGGATTTTTAACAGTTGATCTATATAATGAAAATGATGTCCTTTTCACAGAGTTCTGTGATATTTGATTAGCAATTTGAATATATATAGTTTAAACATTAAAACAACTGAAAGGTACCCAATGAAGTCTGCTTTCCACCTGTCTTCATTCACTTCATTACTCACTGTCTTTAAGTCTCTTTAAAAAAATTCTTTCAGTGCTTCTTTATGCAAATTCAAGCACATCTAAATACATGTTCTAATTTTCATCCCTTTCTCGCATCGAAGGTAGCACACTATAAACATTGTTTGGCATCCTGCCATTGTTTGTTGTTATTTCACTGAATAAAATCTTTTGGAGATCTTCCCACAACAGTCTATAGCGCTTCATTCTTTTTTAGCAGCTCCGAATGCTGAATTCCATCGTGTGGATGCACCGTAGTTGATTTTTCCTCTCTCCTGTTCATGAACACTAGAGTTATTTTCTCTCTTTTGCTCATATAAAAAGTGGTACAGTGAATCTCCTTGTTCATACATCATCTCATGCATGTGAGCCTATTTGCGGGGGGGCCCAAAACATGGCTGCTCCGTCAGGGTGGAGCATCCACCGTCTCTTCTTCCTGACTGTCCTTGCTAAACCAGATTTTCATCCTAGAAGTGTAAGCCTCTTGGCTGCCATCTGAGTTTATGCTCACATAGAGCCCACGAGCTTATTTTCTTTGAAGACATATTTAAGGAAAATAAAGATTAAGGAGGCTGAATGCTAAGAATCCAATTGTTCTAAATCATTCTTCCTGTAGGATATGACTTTTCTTGGGGTAGCTCAGCCCTGAAGGAGGACCATGTGGTTTTGCCTCCACATAAGTAATTAAATGAGTAAATCCTTTGGTAAAACAGCCTTCAGACCAAAGTCCTCCCTGGGCCCCCAGGCCTCCTGGCACACTGAGGAGGAGAGTTCTTCAGGAATGTTGACCCTTGCCGTCCCAGCCTTTCCTTGCCCCATCTTCTCAGTGGAGCCCATGCTTACCAGGTCTGGCAAGGGCTACCCACACTCAATGTCCTGCTAGAGTGTGAGGAAGCCTCAGGGCCACCCCATGTTGTTTTGGGGTAAGCTGTAAGTATGCCACCCCCTGTGGAACATGTGGGTGCCCATTTCCAGTGGACACTCAAGATTGCACATCACTCAGGGTACTGCAGGGACTACTAGCCAGTCTCTCTGCTGCTCATTCCAGCACACTCTCTCTCTCCCTTGAATTTTGGCCCAGGCGTGTCTCAGAACATCTTGAGGCCTCTGTGGCCACTGAAATAGATCCTGTCCTAGACATGAAGTACCCACTTTTGGCTTTGTGCACCCCACACAGTAAGCCATACCTGTGTATCAACCAGAACTCCTTTGTTACTGACTTTAGAAGTCCAACCCAACTAACTTAAGGAAAAAGAGAATTTATTTGTTTGTTCAATTAGACGATGGAAAGGGAAGGGCAGTGTTGATCTTGGGGAAGCCTGGATCCAAGGCTCTAAATGTTCCTGGCACACTTTCTACCCATCTTTTATCTCTGCTGGTATCTACAGGTTGGCCTCAATCTCTTCCATGGCAGGAAGGATCCATCTGGTAGGAAATATGACCATTAGTAGTTCCAAGCTTCATTCCAGTATATCATAAATCAGCTTTGGCTTAACAGCTCTCAGAAAGAGACTCTGATGTGATGGTTTGGGTCTTTGCTCACTCCTTGAGCCAGTTACTGCAATTAGAGGGGTGATGTACCATATGGTTGGCCCAACCAGTGTCCTGGGTCCAGTCCTGTGGTTGGGAGACTTTTGTGACTGGGAACCTCCACAAAAACCAGGGAGAGAATTTTTCAAAGGAAGGGGACAGTGGTTCTGGGCAGACAGAATAAGGAAAGTACACCTCAATGTGTAAATGGAGGGGGACCCAGTTCTGGCCCAGCCTGCACTGTCCCTCTCTCAGGCCATTTGTGGCCTCTGAATTCCATGACCCTGACATCTTTCCCACTCCCCTAAGTTTATTACCCTGCATTGCTCCTGGAAATGCCTCTGCTGAGAGTCCCTCCTCTCCCTCCTGGATCCACTACTAGCAATGCCTAATTCAGCATACACAAGTAGACCTGGGTCATCATGGTCTGCCTAATGGCCTCTCTACCTCAATTTTCACAGCTGTAAAGTGGGAGTTATCATTCCAACCCAGAGAACAGAGAATTAGTTGTGATGAACAGAGCATTGACATTTGGTTCCTTGTCCTCCAGGAAGTGGGCACTACCATGGGTGGAGGTGGATGTTCATAACCCTGGGAGTCCTGACTCTCTGCTCCACTGGATTGTCTTACACATCTCTGTATCCATGCTACCTGGTGCATAGCAGAGCTTGATGAATGTTTGTTGCACTTTTGATCTGCTGACATAAGCCTTATGCCTTTTATCATTGTCAAATCACTTGAAAACAGGTGTAGCCAAAATCTGAGGCTACTTGTGTTTTTCTTGGCAATCAGGTTGAATCAGACATTTAGAATAAAAACTCTATCCTGAAGTTGCCGGTGTGTCTTTATTTTCAAGGGATTTGAAAGTTTCATGCACACTAGCTTTTCTGTTTGTCTGTCCCCAGCTTGCTGACACTTGCTGGATAAGTCCATAACAGTGTTTGCAGGTGCTTGCTAATTCTCACTGATGGAAGAATGTTCCAGAAAGAGATCATGAAGAAGCCTGATGGTGCCTATGGATAAAAGAACACAGAGAAGCCTTCTTGTACTGCTCACTGCGTCCTGTAGCCCCATAACGGGACTCTGGGAGTTGGCCCAGTTGTCTCTCACAGGCTCAGCAGTAGCCATCCAGTCCTTACCTTAGTTCATCCACAGGCAGGGAAATACTAAGGTGTGCTATCATTTGTGCCTGTGGTTGTGAAAACGCAGCTGGACTCAAATCTTTAGGTGAAAATGGCCCCAAAGGCCACACGAGAAATGTTACTCTATAAAAGTAAAAGACTTGGGTCTCTGAAAGAGCTGCTTTCGGGAACAGGGAGTATGAGATTTTCTTTTTTTAACTAATGAGGAACAGAAACTTCTAGAAGATAGGT